CCCACCCTTGTAACCTGTCTAGGTCCAACTGTAGCCTGTTGCTCCCCTGTATTGTGCCCACATCCCCCCACATCTTAGTGTCATCAGCAAACTTGAAAAGGGTGCTTTGCACCCCCTCGTCCAAATCACTGATGAAGACGTTGAACAGGGCGGGCCCAAGGACCGAGCCCTGCGGGACCCCACTTCCCACGTCCTTCCAGGCCGAGAAGGACCCATCCACTACCACCCAGTGGTACCAGTGAATTACTACAGACTTGAGTGCTGTCCACATGCAGCTCCTCTTCCCCTCAGGCCCTGACCAAGAGTTCACTTATCTGACTGCACGGACATGGAAAGACTGGCCCACAAGTGGCCTAATTCAATGCAAGACAGAGATGTTGCTGCTTAGGGAATGCCAGAAGCTTCTACTGAAGGCATCAAATCGACTGCAGTCAAAGCATCTCAATCTCTCACATAGTTACTTCTCCAGACAGCTCAGTCTGGCACAGGAGATGAACACACCTCTGCCCAACTACATGGTACCTTAGACCAGGGCAAACAGATGGAGAGTGCAGCAATGATCCTCGGGCTGGTCACCTCCAGACAGGGCTGCTGCCACGCACTCCTGGCTGCCAGGACTGCACTGGGTCTATTTCTGGCTCCCAGTCTTACCCTACGTAGCCCAAAACAGACACAGGACCAGCTCCTCTCAGCAGCATTGCTCCCACAGAAGATACAGGCGTCCCAGTAAGAATCAGGCTGATGGAGCGCGTTACTAGCAGAGGCAATAATCAAGAAGCCTTCATTTTGCAGCTGGTCTATACATCAGGGCTCCTACCTGTGGGCACCCCTGGAGTTTTCTATAGCACAGGGTGAGAGCAGCAGAAGACGAAACATCCAACTTACATCATTGAACACCTTGTCCAGCTCCTTGGGGTCCATGATGAACTTGGGATAGCCGATCATATCATAGATCGCATCCACCTGGGTGAGGTCAGGGACAGGAGAAGAGGAAATGGCGAGTTTAGTATCGCACCCTGCAAGGGTGTAAAAGCACTGATGCAACGTGCCTCCCCCACGCTCGCTCTTCCTGCAGAAAGTGTTTAGAGTAGACATGCAGCACAGTGGAACCAAGAAGGGACTTGCATCACGGCTCTGGGCTTTTTGCACAGCCACTCCATGTCCCCCATCTTCTCCATGCACTGGGTCCCATCTGTCACCCACTGGGAACCAGCCTTAATAGGCTGAAAGGTAGAAGCCCACTTACGGGATCATGCACCTTTGGCCATGGGGAGCTATCAAGTGAACTGGCAGAGACTGAAAGATGGTACCATCAGAAAATGCAGCTGTTGAGAGGCTATCCCATGGCACAGGCCTATGAAGTTTACATTTAAGTGATTGAGCAATGGCCTGTTGTGCTAGTTTCTAATAAGACGCACCAGGGAAATCCCTAGATCTATTTAAAACCCACTGGAGTCTCAGGATGTGAATGCAGGGGCTGGGATGATGCCCCCGACAACTGGGACCCAGTGCCCCCCATGCTTTGCTCTTGCCTTCTCCTTGGCAGATTTCCTCGTGTCTTCATCCATCCAAGACAGGTTTGCCAGGCTTTCCTTGAAGGCCATCTTAATTTCTGTAATCATTTCCTCTGCCTAGAGAAAATAAGAGGCCATGGGGTCAGCCGGAAGCCCAAAAAGTGAACCCTGCTCTGCAAGTTTGGAGACATAAGTAAAAGTCTCTTGAAACATCTGGAGGAGCCCACGCCTCTCGGCTCCAGGCTGCAGACAGGGCTCAGGCGCTGGCGGTGCTGTCCAGCAGCTCCCTGATAAGGCCCATGACCTATCCAGGGAGATGGCAACAACAAACAATGGCTCGTTGTTGCAGACAGCTGTGCTCCGTGTGAAAGCAAGCGCCCATCCCAGAAGGAGCGCTGCGGCCCATGAGAAAGTCTCACTGGCTGCAGGGCCCTGGTGTGGGGGCGGAAGTTGGGCTTTGCCAAATGGAAGTGGGCAAAGAGAGTAAAGCACTGCCCTTCATATCCATGTGGGGTAGCATCAGCCGTCCAGGCCCGGGCCGGAGACACAGCAGCCCCCCACGTCAAGCAGAACAGCCAGCCCCTCATTATGGGTAGGAGCCTGGATGGCGACCCACCAGGTCTGGGCTCTGTTCCCAGCTCGGCTGCTGTCAGAGTGACCCTGGGCAACTCTTGTGCCTCAGTTTCCCCTTGGAGAAAATGGCTTGAATTCCTGCAGAGGGGCTTAGAGAAACCACAGGGCTCTTCGTCTCCCCCATGACGGAGCAGCTTGTGTTGTGCCAGGGCACAGGCAGCTGCTACTTATTAGAGCCGCAGCTGGTTTGGGGTGCGGCACCTCTTCCCCCCCCTTGGGAGTTTCCCAGAGGCCTCTCTGCCCCCCCACGGGGACAAGCCCTTGAACCCGTAAACACCGCGGTTTTGGGAGCTTTGCTTTCACATGCAACGTTGCTCTTTGCAAGACAGAGACTTAAACTGGCTCCAGATTTGCTCCTGGCCAGGCTTCCCCAGCCAGTGGAGCCCAGCCAGGAGGCCACGTGGGAGGCCGGGGAGAGCGCAGCAGGGACGTACGATTTTCTTGCTGTCCTCAGCGAAAGTGGCTTTGACAAACATGGCTCCCAGCGCAAAGCCCAGGTTGCTGTCGGTGTCGCTGACGCAGAACTTCCAGCGGGGCTGGCACGTCTGGAGGGAGAGGGAGAGTCAGCGACCGGACCCATGTGCGCTCCGACGGGAGTTTTCCCTCCCTTAGCTGGGAGAGCCTCGGAGCCACGCTTGGTACTCAAGCCAGCGATGCCTCCCTGCCCAGGTGCCAGCCAGAATCAAGAAGCCTTAATTTTGCAGCTGGTCTATAACTCAGGGCTCCTGCAGTGGTGCTTCTGGTGGGCACCCCTGGAGGTTTCCTCCGGGCAATGCCGAGCCTCACCCCATGGACCAGCTCCTCGCACCCATGAGTGACAGCACCAAGGGCAAAGGGGAAAAACAACCCCAGCGCCTGCAGGCAGAGCTGGCTTCCTGCAATTCATGGGCTGCTCTTATCTCGCCCTGATAACCGGCAAGCTGGGATGGCTCAGTGGGGGTGAGGAGACGACAGGGATTTGACTGAGAAAGAATGGCTTCCCTTTCCAGGCGTCTGCTGGGGAAGAGCTGCCTGGGAAGGGGATGGGGTTTGGGCTGGGTCATTTCTGGAAGCCGTTTCACCGGCTGGTCAGAGGATGAGGTGGCCTTTCTTCCCAGCTTGTCTGCAGCAGCCACTGGAGCTGCGAGTCCCGGGTGCAGGGTTCAACAGTCAGGTGCAGACTCCATTAGCCGTGGCCAGGTGGGGTGTTTCTGGTGGCTTCAGCTGGGCCCAGGACAGCCTTCAGCAGAGGCAAAGCAAGCGGCCACTCGGACTTGGCCGACCCACTCGGTCTCTGCAATGCCCGCAGCAGAGCTCCTGAGAGCTGGGCCCTCTGCGGGGGAGCTTCTGCCTGCCTACCTCCAGGCTGGCAGCGTGCGATGCTGCCAGATCACAGAGGCAGCCCTAGGTGAAGGCAAGGCCAAGGAGGAGCGTTAGCTCAGCCTATGTTTCTTCTCACCCTTTGGGGAATGCGAGCACTTTGCGGGGACAAGCTGGACTGGAGAGTAACCGGAGGATTTTAAATGGGATTTAAACACTGCCCTGGCTAGAGACATGCACTTGCCAGGTCATCAGCCCCCGTTCTGTCCCGCACGCTCACCTTCTTCATCCCATACATGGCTTCCATAAACTTCTCCTCTGCATCCTGGAAACGCTGGTCCAGGAAGGAGCTTGTTTTCCTCACCAGGTTCCAGATCATGTAGTTGTTCAAGAGGCTGCAATGGAAGAAGGAAAAAAAAAAATGCTTTTCCACTAAATATTGAAGTTCTCAGCCCTGCTCTCTGGTGGAGCTCCCACCTCTCACACGACGGCCCATGGCAGGGACCTTTTGTTTGGTATCTTACAGCCTAAGGTAGAAACTCAGCTCCTGCTGAGACCAGGTGATATTGTACTCGAGGCAGTGCAGGAGCAAGGGGAGGGTGGGGGTGCAGAAGAGAGAAAATCCACAGCAGTAACCACAGTGGAGGCTGAGGCAAAACTGGTGCGGTGGGGCTGAGAACAGGCCCCATCCTATTCTACCTGTCAGGCATCTACGTGGCCCTTAGAAATGTCAGTGTCTACATGCGAGCCTATTCCCCTTTGCTTGAGCTCCTGAAAAACAAACGTATCTACTCCTATTAGTGCTCTCATCTTAGCCTGCAGACTGTAACAAAAAGCTAGGAGGAAAAGGCATTTTGCAGGGCTTCAGGGTGGAAGAGGCTCACACTTAGATATCTAGATAACTAAATGCCTAATCGATGAACAGGATCCAGCCCCTGGAGCCTTTGCAGTCTTTCGAAACAGGAACTCCTGGAACCGGCCTTCCCCATCTCCACACCCGATCTCCCACGCACGCAGCGGCCAGGTGCCTTAGTGCCTCTGCAAACAGCCGTGCAGGACACCTGCGAGATGCGACCGGCAGAAAGGTTGCGCCCGTCTCCCGGGAGTCGCGAGAGCGTTGTACCCTAAGTGTCTCTTGGCACGTGGACCAGAACCGTTTTAGGTGTTAGCTGCTCTCACCATTTGTCCGTGTTGAGGATGAGGGTGGAGACTTGCTCCAAGTACTCTTTGGCGTAGACCACGACTGGCTCGGACTCGTTGAGCTCCACCGGGTAGAACACGGTGGTGAGGAAGGGCATCCAGTCCACAGCCGGCGCCAGGCTCTGGAAGAAAGGCAGAGCTTAAAACACCATGTCTTGCCCATCTGGCGAGTCCCAGGGCACAGAAGACAGGGCCAAGTTACAAGATGAGCCTACGAGCCTAGGGGCCGATCTGTAGGACAGCTGTAGGTCTAAGACTCCCCGCTACTCTTCCCAGCACGACTTCATTACAAAAGCCTGTCTACCTGTCTCATGCCTATTGATTCCCATCACCTTTGATCTTCACTGTCATGCATTTGCATGTTCACAGACCTGCCTTTTGTGTACTGGCTTCTGTTCCACCCATGAGAGCACACAAAACACCAGCAGATTATGCCTGACGAAGGGTGTTTGTGCCCAAAAGCTTGCAAAGAACAATTTTTCCAACTATTTAGCTGGTCTAAGAAAAGACATCACATCGACCCAGAGAACCTTGTCTGGGCTAAGACCCGCATTGTAGGTTCAGCACCACCAAGGTGCGTCTGAGGCTGGGGTGGATGGTGGGGGAAGGAGGGGCTGTATCAATTCAGCGAGGCGAGAGATCATCATGAACATGATGTCCTGCGGGTTGGGGCGTATGGACGAGCTTCTCCACTGTTGTCCTCCGAGAAGACCCTGACTCACAGGGCAGGTTCAGTAAGAGGTGGGAAGACCCCTGGTCCTCGCGTGCTGGCCTTGCTGGCAGGATCGCTGTTTTATCGCCAGCAGCTACTGCCGTACGTTCCTTAAGCGGGCCTGTACGTTCGGACTTGGCCAGCCACCCGTCCTCTTTGGGAGCCATTTCCTTTCCAGAGGGAGGCAATTACATCCCTGAGGGTCTAACGAGTTAATCGGACTTTGCCGACTCAGGTTCCCATGACAACTCCTGCCTCTGGAGGTCAAAGGGGAGAGAATGATTTCCTCCCTTGATCCCTCGTGAAAATGAAGAGTGAATAAATCCAGGATTGCGTAAAGGGGATGAGCAAGGTGATGAATGGGGTGAGCTGCTGTCAGTCCTTGGAGGAGAGACATGACGGTACGGATATCGCCAGCTGGGCTGTCTGAAGGGGCTCGGCCTGGAGCCTCTGCATCACGACGCACCGGCCTCTGAGGCCCGAGTTCAAGGACGAGCTGTGCCGGCCCAGACAGTGCCGGACATAAACCCCTACAGGGGCATGAGGCCCTTGAGGGGCAGCGTTGAGTGGCAGGGGCAAGAAGGAGAGCATCACAGCACTTGGCACCTACCCATTTTAGCTTTTTATGTGTGGTCATTAGTGATCATTACTCCCCTTCTTGAGATGGGGAAACTGAGGCACGGAGCTTTGCATGAGGTCACGCAGTGGGTCAGGGGCCTGGCTGGGTAGACAGTCCAGGTCTCCTCAGTCCCTGGCCCCTGGAGGAAGCGATTCCTTTTTCCCAACTTAGCCTGTCGACAGCTACGACTGCCCAGGACCAGACCTGTCCTAGCAGGTACGGGAGCCATCGCTGTCCTTACCTTGAGATCCCTGGCTGTCATTTTGTGGTAGATCACCTCCTCGTCTCTGCGCTTCTCCTGCGGGATGGTGATGTTGGCCAGGGCTGTCTCGAAGTCCAGGATCTGTTGCATCTGCTGCCGGGTGGACTCCTCGTCTTGTCCCCCCAGGAGCATGCCCAGCTGCACCATGTAATTTAGATACCCTGCGAGCACCTGGATATCAGAGCCAAAAGAATAAGGCGAGGGCTCAAGCTGGCAGGGAAAGGCCTGACTTCTCTCAGTCACCGGTAGCGTAGGGACTATAGATCAGTTGAACACTTAGCAATAAAAACACTCCCTGGCCAGCCCATTTTCCCCAGCAGACTGCAAACAAATCCTCCTCCACACATCTTTGCAGCATTCCTTCCTGCTCCTCCTCTGGCCACCCCCGTTCCCTCTCACGGCATCTATGGTATTATTTTCCATGTGCTTTATATGCCGCCCTTCCCTGCAGAGGTGTAGTAGTGTGCTGCCTGCTTCTCCCCTGCAGCCACAAGTTCTCCCCCTGCGAGAGCTCGGGAAGGCAAGGAAGCGATTCAAGCCTCCACCCCAGCATCTAGGGGGATCGTTTGCTCTCCCCAGCGAGAGGAGCTGGATCAGTCAGATTCCACCTGATCAGAGAGGTGGAATTAGCTCCTGAGGCTGCCCTGCGGGAAGCTGGCCTGTGTGCAAAATGGGAATGCCTCCCAGATGCCTGCTTCATGGCAGGTTTAGCCACAGAAATACACAGCTCCCCTTGCAGCAGAAAATCACTGCAAGAGCTACTCAGAGAATAGCAGGCGTGGCTCCGGGAGCTTGTATCCTCTCCCTTTTCATCACTGGCAGATGCGGCATGGTGTCACGCATGCGTCTACGGCTCCTGCTGGAAGAAGGCTGAGCACCTGCTCTGGCTAGGACTGCTCTATGGCTGAGCACCTCCAGCCCCACCTCCAGCGCTGTGTCCCTTTGCGAGCCGGGGAGTGACTGACCCTTGTTTCTGTGCTCAGCAAAGATTCCTAAGTGCCACGAAGGCAGATCCCGGGGGGCAAGCTCGAGTTTAAGCAGCCCACGTCTTGCACTGAGCCCACCCTGCAGATGGACATCAGGGGAGGGACGCCTACCTTTTCATTCTCCGTTTTGTTCAGGTAGTAATCCCTGGAGGGCAGCGCCAGCCCTGACTGATCAACCTGCAAAGCGAGCAAGAGCAGGAGTGAACCCAGCGCATGGCACTGGCAAAGCAGAGAGCTTGGCTACTGCAGAAACCAAACCCATCCAGGAGGGTGCCCTGGGTCTGGCGCGCTGCTGAGCCGTCACCCCAGCCGGAGCCACCCCCAGAAAGATGAGGGGTCTGCCGGGGCCATTAGGCAGCAGTGGCTGCACTGGGTGAGACGGGCACGTTTCGCTGCCGTGCTCACCTGGATGACGTTGCTGTTGGAGTTCTTGGAGTCGGCGCTCACATAAACGGAGAAGAAGGGCGAGACGTGGTAGTGCGCCGTGACCTCCCGCAGGGTCTGGTTGAAGTTATCCTTGTCCCAGGGGTCTGTGATATTCCAGCCGCCAAGCTGGGGAAGGAAAACCCAGAGAGATGCATAAGACAGGACAGGTGAGCAACTGGAAACTCCTTGGAGCCTGGGTCAAAACCGAGGCGGTGAAACAGGTTTTTAGTGGGGGCAGGTGGCTGCTCTGTGGTTTGTGGCTCTTGTCCTCCCCGATCCTTCTACCCAAGGCAGCTGGACAGCAGCAGATCATGGTGAATGACCCATCTCTGGTGTTTGCTGAGCTGTCTTAGTGCCTTGGCCACTTTCTGGGCCAAAGCAACCTGGCATTGTGCCTCCATTGCATCTGGACACTGAAGATTTAACAGATTGGATCTCACAGTGTTTCCATTCCTTAACTGGCACAGTGGAAAAACCACCGCAGTCACCCATGGTGCCTGTACCCATGCCCATGCCTAGGCCCAGGCTTTTCAGCACTGCTTGTACCTGTGGCCTTGGGGGAGATGCTGGCAGCAGGAGAGACTGGACAATTGAGAAGGCAAGACCCGCTTTCTTTAATTCATGCACTTCTGCTGCAATGGTAAAAGCCACTTTACTACACCAGCTCTGTGGACTGGTGGCACCCACAGACCCTGCAGTACAGCATCCACATGGGTAAGACCGGGAAAAATCCTGGCTTTTGGTTAGATAAATGTCCTGTTAGGGAGCAAGGCAGGGATGTAGGCATTTAGGAGGCAGATGCTCGGTCCACCCACTGGCTCCCAGTGTCGCATCCCAGAGACTCGGACAGGATGGGGTACGATTTGCAGAGGCACAAGTGCAGCCAGGCACCCAACTCTCCCTGACACTCCCCGAGACCCTGATGCCCAAATGCCATCTGTGCATTTACTATAAATCCTCCAGAAAATAACATTCAGCCGAGGTGAATGGGGCCGCAGGGACCTCAGGCCGGAGTTGTGGTTGGGTAGCCTTTAAAAGTGACCTCAAGCTGGGCAGATCACCCACGTGGCCCAAGGACTCCACCGGACGCAGCGGATATCACTTTCTCTCCGTGTCCGTGATACAGAGGAAAGACAGACAGCCCCATGCCAGGGCACTCACCCTGCACAGCAAAGCGGCTGCCTCTGATTTCCCATCCCAAATGGGACTGAGGAGGCAGGGTCTGGTAAGGGTCACTCTAAGGGAACCAGTAGGTATGCCATCCCCAGCCAGCCGGTGGGAGCTATCCCCGCCCATCCTAGCCACCCGTGCGGTGCGAATGGGAGCAAACCTTAAGCTCTGTGGGCGCTACGGGTGGACAGGCCTTACCTTCTTTATCAGCTCCATCAGTGGCTTGGCATTCAGCTCCTCGATCTTGGTCTCGTTCATGCAGGACTGGTAGTAACGCTGGGCCTTGCGCTCAGCCTCGCTCGACACGTTGGCGGTGGTGTTTTCTGCAAGACAGACCGGGCGCTGCGTGAGGGGCTCTGTCCGTGCCAGGAGAGGGACGTCGATGCTTCAACCTCACCCCAGTTGGCACTAGGCAGGAGGGATGAGGCTGGCTCTGCCTGGCCTGCAAATCAGTCTCCTCCACACCAAGTCCCTCTGAGGGGCTCTTCCAGCCCCAAGCATTTCAGTGGTACTTCAACTGCTCCCAGGACCCCCCCACGCATAGCTCTCCAGTGCCGGCATGTCTTCCCCTTCCACCTCCAGAGATCTGTCTTGGGGGAAAACCATCCCCAAACTCCTCCCAGAGGCCTCGCTGACAGCTAAGCTTTTCCGACACCCCTCCTTCTCCCCACCCCACTTGCCCTGGGAACCAAATCCCTTAACCTCTGCACACACCCATTTTCAGGCTGTAGATATCAAGGAAGGACTTTAGGGGTAAGTAACTGGGTCCCCTGCAGCCAGCAGGCTTACACGTGGCTCCCAGCACTCCCTCCTGCTGAAAGGCTGGTGCTGGTGTAGCCAGATTAAAAGCTATTCTAACCACCAAGGCTGCTGCAAAAGCTGCATCGGGACTGTGTTGTCAAGTCTGTCTGCAGACCGCCGGACAACTGCCTAGGAGAGCACGAAGCTGCGGCAGGTTGTCTATCGGACTGGGAGATGCTCGGTGGATGCCCGCGGGAACAGCACGGTGGCTTGCTGTATAGAGAGGAGGCTGGGGCGACTCCCAGGCCTCCAGTTACTGACAGACACACCGAGCCCTCCTAACCCTGGCACGACAGGCCATTCTTGCCTGCTCTGCCACGATGCAGCTGTGCTGAGGATATGAAGTCCCTCGGGAGACTCCCCCTCCAGGGTCAGAGGCAGGAGCCAGTGCATCGGGATGGAAATCCCAAATGCAACAGATGGTAGATTGCAGGGCTCTGAGTGATGCAAGAGCTGCTTTGGAAGTGCCCCTTCGGGGGGAGGAATGAAGAAACAGCAGAAAACTCAAGAGGCTGGACGCTGAGGTCTGCTGACGTCTGGACTGATGCAGTGGTCGCCCCAAGCAGTGAGGGCACGCACTGTGGCTGGCTTGGCATCGGTCCTACAAAGTGCTGCACGTGCACGTGGGAGTGGAGGGCTTGGGCTGTGATCCTAGCCTATGTCCCACTCCTGGCTGTGGTTGCCTCCTCCTTTGGCTCTGGCCATGAACCAAGGTCCTAGTATTTGTATTAGAGCAAGCCAGGCATTGCAGCTGCTCAAGAGGTTTCTTTTGGGACTGCATATCCTGAGTAGAAAGCAGGGTAGATATGCCTCTCACGGACTAACCAGAGTAGGTATGAATGTATATATCTGGCTTCAGATGCTGTGAAAGTACATGCACAAAGCAGTCCATAAGAAAGAATATATCCTGAGACCTTGGGATCCTGTTTTTGGAGATAATCTGGTCCCAAAGCCAGAGGGCATCTCAGAAAGCACTGCGTGAAAGCTGCCCGTAGACCGGCTCTCACCGTCGCAGCAGCTGAAGTCCCTGCGTGCCAGCGCAGCGGGCCAACTCATGGCTGGAGCAATGGCAGAGGGGAAAGGCACAGAGGAGGCTGTGCCAATATGTGCAGCCCCCTTACGCTGCACGTGGGCCCGAGCAAGGTCTCAGCTCTCCTGAGCGGGAAGAAGCCAGGCGAGGAGCAGGTCCCCAAGGACCGGGCAAGCAGATAGGAGAGGCAGAGAGGGAGTTATCAGGGCTCCAGCAGTGATGAAGCTCTCCCGGGGGAGGAGGAAGCACGAGAGATATTAGCTAATAAACAGTTGCACATCTGTTGAGTATAAAACCCAAACACAACCCACTTGGCCGAGCCAGATGCAGGAAGCAGTCTCTGAGCCCAGGGAACAGAGCCTCTGTTGCTATGGGAATCTCTCCAGCTATCAGGCTTCATTGCCCTGGGAAGTGGCAATCCAGAGAGAAAACCCTGCAGGAGGGAGCTCCGGCTGTATTGTTCCACCTACCGCCGCTCTGGGGCTGGCTGCCCGGAGGACAGCGATAAGGGAAGAAAAACAGAAGCCATTTTTCAGGAGCCCCTCAAAGGTCTGCAAATCTCCTGGCTCCACTTGCTGCCCTGCCCTCCGTGCTCCCAGGGCTGGGCTTCTTCGATCATATTTATTTGCAAATCAAGAACCGCAGTGCCTTGGAAGAGAAATGATAAACACTCCCACGGCCAGGGTGAGAGGCCTAGGGCAGGCAGCTGTACACAGGATGGCCTTTCTCATTGAAGGTACATCCGCTCTAAAGTGCCCTATCCCTTCGGAAGGCAATCCCACACGCTCCCTTAAGGTCTTTTGATAACCCCAGCATCCAAATACTCAAGGCTTTAAAGCAAGACCACACTCTGTAGGGGCTGGCTTTGCATCCGTCCCCCCGGCCAGGCAGGAGAGCATGACCCGTAGATCATGGCCGCGCTGGGATCCGATGAGGTTTCCCTTCCTAAAATGCCACTGTTCTGTCATCTCAAATCCTCCAGTTAGGAGAAGAGGCTGCTTGAACTTGCAAGGCAGGATCTGCCTGCTGTTGACCCTAAATCCCCTATCTAGCGAAGATGCACAAGCTCTTGGAAGTACAGACGGGGAAGCAGAAGGGAGAGCATTTCATCTTTGTAGGGCAAGGTGGGACCACTCCGGGAACAATGAAGCCACATGGGGTGCTCGTGTTTAAAAAGAGATTTGATGGATTGAAAAGTGTGCAGAAAGGAGCCACAAAGAGGACTGGACAAATGCCTTTCGTCAAGAACCTGAAGGCCCTCGATCAGTTAGCTAGAAACTCCAGGAGTAACTTCATCAAAGTGAGGCAGTACTTTCAGGGACAGAAAATACCAAGCACTGGTGAGCTCTTCATTTCCACAGAGAAAGGCAGAACAAGAACCACCGCCGGGAAGTTAAAGCCAGACTAAATCCAACCTGCAATACGGCACGATTCTCCAAACAGGGAGGGCGACTGGCGGCTGGAACGAGCTAGCAGGGGAAGTGGCTTGAAGTCTGCAGATGCAAACTGGAAGCCTTTCTGGAAGTGAAACTTTAGCAGAACTCAGGATTTAACCTCACTACAGTGCATAATTATTTGACCTGTGCTACACGGACTAGATGAACTGCTGACCCCAATCTGGTTTCAAATTTCATGCAGATAAGCGTGTTGGCCAGCTCGGGAACCATACTAATAGCAGCAGCACACACAAAAGTGAGATGCTAACACTGTTTTGGTTGCCAGTCCTTTAGAAATCACTTCCTGCTGTAGTCCCAATAGACAACATGGAGAACAGTTCAAAGGGGGTGCTAGAAAGGTGTCTCACAGGGGTGTGGAGCCTGCAAGTGCCAGGCAGTGCTCCTGGCAGCTGAGGAGATCGCGTGTGCCGGACCTGAGAATCAACCGAGGAAAGCAATGCAATGAGAACAAGGGGGCTGAGGAACTGGGGGCCCTCCAAGGCACTGTTTACTGCTCGTATAGTCCCGAGTTGCCAGCTCGGAGGGGTCCAGCCTGCAGAGATCAAGCTGGGTGGATCCCAGGGCGCTCCCACTTCGGATGGGTCCACTAGATCCCATCGACCCTTAGGGGCTGTATCCAGCACAGAGGCTCTCGCGTGGCTCTGCCCATGCCACAGCCGCACAGTCACGGGGAAGGCCGGACCGCGTGCATGGCTACAGCGAGACAAAAATGCTGGGGCTCAGCAGGAGCGGAGTCGCCTGATCCTCAGCTCTCCCCCATCCCCGGCAGGAGCTGCCTTCTGCAGCCTAGCTAACTCTTGCTGGGCCCCTTCGAGCTGGGCAGCATGCGAAAACCACCCGCTACCCGGGCGCAGGGACGGGTTCCTTAGCATCTCCTCGGAGCTGCAGAATAGGTCGCCAGGCTCCCTGCTGCCACTCTGAACGCGTTTCACTGCTGCACACATTTCCCCTTCACAGCCGGTAGCTAAAACCCAACGTTTTCTTCACCAAAGACCCCAGAAGCGCGGACCCCCACGAAACGCCCTGGAAGCCGGGAGCGGCCGTGCTGGGACAGGGACTGGAGTCTTGTCTCCAGCACATGTGTTTGTCATCAGCGCTGCCAGTTCGGTGCAACATGAGCAGGTCGGGTTTCTCTGCCGGCTGCAACCGCCGTGTAACGTTAGACTCAACGTTTTGCTCTGTTGTGTAATTCAATTTTGGTTTAGATTAAAGATCTGCAGAGATCACACAAACCCTGGAACGAGGCAGCTGGAACCCGCCTGCGTGTTTTGACTGTCCCTTGGCAATAGCCAATTTACAAAATTAAAATCCCGCGCAGAGGCGCTCTCCTGAAGTTAGACAGACACTTGGCTGGGATGAACCCCCTCAGGGACGATCCTGCCTCGAGCAGGGGGCTGGACTAGTTGACCTTGTGAGGTCCCTTCCAGACCTACTTTCCCATGTGCTCTATTATTTTCAGTCAACTTTGGATGCACCGCTTCCATTTGGGCCCTGACATCAAGCGCAAGGAAATGGCAGGAACACCCCTCTCCTACCAAACAAAGGCCCTCTTCCCAATCTCCTGCTTCAGATAATTACACCCAGAGCCTAGCGCTGTCTTTTGAGTCAGGAGCGCTGATAAGGAACCCCTTTGTTTGCTCCAGGGCTGCACAAAAAGGCCCCGGGGGCTGCTGCAGCTGTGCAGACAGCGCTGACCCACTTCTCCTTTGGCAGGCAGACATTCGTGCGGGTCTGTGATCAATGCCCTGCCGACAGCGGCAGGCGGCTGCAGGGAGCTCTCTGCTGCTTGCTTGAAAGTTATTTCCCCTTCTCGCCCAGACAGCCCTGCTCTCACACCGCTCAGAAAGCTGCAGCTGGTTTGTATCAACAGCCAATTCGCAGGCAGTCCCGAGCTTGGCTTTCTGGGTGGCTGCTGCGAGCCAGCCAGGCCCATCCCATCCCTTGCAGAGCTTAAGACGCACATCACCTTCCCCGAGAGCATCGCCCGCCCTGCACAACTGCTCCCACCCATGCACCAGGAGCATCCTGCTGAAGTGCAACCTGGACGGGGGGTGTCTTTGCATCCAGGGCACGGCATGTCCACCTCCCTGAGCCAGTGGTGCTACCGCTGCACAGACACGTGCTCCTTGCCTGCGGGGCTGGCTGCGCTCCTTAGACCACAAAGGTGGCTCGGGTAGAGTCGCCTAGCCCACTGCAGAGTTTCTGCCCTTGCTTAGGGTCTGACGTTTCCTGCTCTCCATCCACAGCAGATGGCAGAGGGGGGTCTGCTCCAGCTGCGGCTTAGAAGTGCAGTTTCTCCATCCCCTGCAAAAATAACTGGGGTTTGGGGCCGGTCAACTGGGGCAGAGCCACGGAAAGCTGGCCTGCTTCCCATAAGCGTGAGAGGAAGCCAGGCCTGGGCATTCAGGGAAGCACCAAGACCATCCAGCAATGGGAGCCGCAGGAAAGTGGCACAGACCCCTTGGTCTCTTCACTGGCTTTCAACCCTCCCCTGGCCGTACACTGGGGGGGCTTCCGTAGCCTACAGCTTTCAGCAAGGCCTGGCGATCCTCGCCTGTGCTGGTAAGTCCCTCCCAACAAACTGGCCGTGTCCCCAGCTGGCTCCCTCTGTGACTGGGAGAACAAAGAGGCTTTCTCCGCGGCAAGGGGGAGCGGGAGACGCGCTCGCTGATTCGCTCTGTAAACTCCGAGTTCCTAGACAAAGCGATGAACACAAAGGTCAAAAATCCTGGGGGCATAAAGAAAAATAAATAGCGGAGAGATCTGGTTTCCTGGTTGAGCCCACGGCTGCCGCCTGGGAACGGTCGGCTCACATCCTGCCCCGGCTGCAGCTGGCACCGAGGACCGGCCAAGGCCTCTGGGGCCGCAGCACGCGGCGTGTCCCTGGCACACCCCAGGTGGGGATATATCTGAATTCCTGGGAGGCCACAAGCCTAGCAGAGTGGCCCCAAATCACTTGGGGTTGAGCTCACCCCAGGTCCCTTCCACCTCTGCAGGTCCCAGTCTTCCAGGCAAAGGGTGATGCCTCCAGAAATGCCTGCCTCTTTCTTTGGGCAGCTCATCTCCCTTGCCTATGCCATCTCTTTGCCTTCTGCCACCCCAGGGTGTGCTGCAAGCTGCTGTGCAAGGGTGGGGGAAGATTAGAGGTAGGAAGAGACGCGTGTTTTCTAAGGGGTTCAGCTCCCTGAGCTCCTGGGGAGGGAGGAGGGAAAAGTAGCCGTGTTATTTGTGTTGCATGTGTTGTGTCGGGGTACTGAGCTCTGGAAGGAGCAAACAGCTTAGCCCCTGCCCTTGTAAGCGTGCGTGCATACGGCTGCAGGTACCCTCTTCCACCCCAGCACATCACCCCACGCCACAGCCAAGCTGCCCGAGAGCCAAGTGACTGCCAGGCCGTGTCGGCTCACGATGGCCCCGGGTAATTACTGCTGCACGGCCGGCTCCGACCAGCTGCAGGATCTGCCCTGGAAGCTGGACAGGGAGCATTTTATCAGGGCTTGTTTCATTCCTGGCTCCAAGCTAAAAGCAGCAGTGAGGAGCCCAGCCCACAACTGACTGCTCGGGGAGCGTGGGATCCTCATCTTTCCAAGAGGAGCAGGGAAGTTTCTACGGACCAGCCTGTCCAGCGGCTCAGCACATCGAAAGCCTGTCTCAGGCCAATGCCCCAGCTCAGGTCTGAGGCCGGAGGGCACAAGCACCTGGCTGCCTCTGCTGCTTCTCCCCGCCACGAGGCAGTGAAGCAGCCACCCTCCGTGCCCAGCTGTGGTGTGGCACAGGCATAGCCACAGCCAGCCCTGTGTACTGGATCTGGCCCATGGGCTGCAGGGTGCTGATGCCTATCTTAGGGCATTTCTCCAGGGCCTGGGCACTCGCTTGCCTTTCCCAGCGCCTAGCAAGCATCTGCTTTGTCTCTAAAATGGGTCTGTGAGAGGAGACTCACCCAAAAGGTGCTTCATGATGGCCTGATTGTGCTCCCAGAGCTTGTTGAAGGTGCCCCAGCGCGAATGCCCGTCAGGCACGGGGTTCGCCTTGATCCAGCCTCCGCAGGCATAGCTGAAGAAGTCGTCGCAGGGGTTCACCGATCGGTCCAGCGAGCTCAGGATGGAGCTGGTGACGGAGACGCAGGTTTCGGTCAAACACACCTGGGGTGGCTCTGGAAGGAGAGGGAAGACTATCAGGCCCCATGTCCCGGCGGAGGGGAAATCCCAGCAGGGGAAGAATCAGCACCGCTGAGACAGGAGAATAGCTTGGCTTCTGGTGCAGCACAAGATTTCCTAGGACAGGCCCTGGGACAACCCCAGTGATCCCCAGACCCCGTGAATGGGCCTGCTCCACAGGCAATGTGCGTAGATGCAAAGGAAGGACTTACTGGCTTTATACTGGAGCACCAGGGCCAAGACGCAGGCCAAGACGCTGACTGCCAGAACCACGACCAGTGCCAGGAGCCGCTTCTCAATGTGCGTGCGCTCCGCCCAGCAGCTCTTGCCGTTCCCAGAGCCACGGAAATTCACCTGGAGAGGAAAGAGGAAGGATCCATCCAGCTGGCGAGAAAGTCTGCACCTTCCCACCAGGCCGCTATGGCTCCGACTGGGTCAAGAAAGAGGTCGTTCCCACCGCCCCGGCCTCCTGCCCCTTACAGCCCAGCGTTTTTGGTAAAGATTTTCCCTGCAGATAGCACAGATGCCAACGATGAGGTGTAACTGGGATAGTTTGTTTAAAGTGCCATCCAATTGGGTCTGAAAACTCTTTGCTTATTTCTCATGCAACGGGAGATGCGAGCTTTGCCGTCGGCAGGCACGGCTTCACAAGAGTTTGCGGTCAGCCCGTCACGCCCAGGTCAGCAGAGCGCGGGGACTTCGGGGAGGAACCCATTTGAAGCTTGCGAGCTGGAAAGGACTCCACGCTCACCAGAAATCCTAACAGGAAGGGAGGTACAATGAGAGGAAATGCATGCAAAACACTGCAATCGGAATAATATTTCATGCTCCCGCTATCCCACAGCCATCACCTGTTCCCAATTAGTTCTTGGAAATGTTTTCATGGAGGAGAGGTCTTCCACGAGCTTGACTGATGGACATGGCTCTTGGAAAGGTCAGGCCTATGGCTTTGGCCAAGCAGGTGCTACAAGCCAGCCATGGAAGCACTGACGTGTTGTGCGTCCTCCCTGCCGCTACCTAAATGTTTCCGGGTGGCTGGAAGTGGCAGGGAAGACGTGCAAATGGATGCATGCGATGCCTTCACAGATGCTTGCTCATGAACAGACCTCAGCAGGAGCCGTTTTTACTTCTATTACATAAAACTGTGGAGGAACTGGACATTAGGGCCCCAGGACTGCACCTAACTCCCACCGATTGCAATGGATTTAGGCACTGTGTTATCAGCTAGGCACTGGGCCTAGTGACTTAGCTTCTTTTCAAGTTCCTTCCGTGTATAAACCCCCCAGAGCTTTGCAAAGGCACGACAGGGTCATTATCCCCCTTCTTAAAAGTAATTCTAATAATTTTGAATAATAATACCTAGAACTAAAGAAAAATTTCACAGATTGAGCAAAACGCCCCATGCCCATGTGACGACAGCGTGAAGGCAGGGTGCGCGTGGAGAGCACAGTGCGCTGGGTGGGCAGCGAGCTCTGTCAGGCACATCACCTGGTCTGGGTTTATACAGAGCCTGGTGCTCATTAGCAACCTTTTGTATCCATCACCTAATGGTAATCCAGGCCAGAAGCATGCTGTGGTTACCCCAAGCTCAAGCACAAAACTAAGGAACCCACGGAGTTAAAGTTATATTTGCATTTCTGGTTTGTGGACCTTATCCGAGGTTCCTGTGTGTTGTTGCCAGGATGATGCCAACCCCCCTGTAATGTGTGTTACCCTCAATGGAGGCACTTGGCTTTACCTGTACTGCAGGGGAACACACTGCACGCAGCAGTGGAGGTACGCGCTGTACGGGCCGGGGCAGCACGCGAGACCTGCTGTACCGGAACAGCCTGGCAATCAGGCCAAACCAGCATCCAGCCCCCGTCAGTGGCTGAGGTTACTGATTACCTTCGTCCTGTGTACACATTGCATGCCAGTGCCATGCCCGCGTCCCTGCTGGAGGCCCTCTCCCCGGTTAGACTTTGATCATTGAAAAAAAAAAGACCAGCAAAACTAAAACAAGTGCACGGCGCACAGCTCCTGCACCCACATGGAGCCAGGATGTGAATATATGGCTGTAGTGCCTGCCCTCCTTCTCTTCCCCGTGCCCAGGGTGGGGCCACTCCTAAGATACCATGCATGCTCAAGGTCAGGCTCTGTTTATGCCAAGTCTAGACTCAGCCAGACCTCATTATTCCTGGAAGAGCATATTGCAGCTTTCCTGGTGTTCAGCTTGGGGCTGGGAGAGAGCAGAGCAGGAAGCAGGCGAGAGACAGCCAAGTCTACCCTGGAAGGCTGGCCTTTCGGCGCTGCAGACACCCACTCAACCACATGAAGCTGAGATTGTATCACAAAGAGCCACAGCCCAGCCACCTTTAACCCACCAGCCAGGGGAGCAGCAAAGATACGGCAGCCCTGGCTTCACTGCTAGGTTAAAACCAGCGCACCTATGGCTGCCCACATGAGCACACACCTCCACGGGCTGGGTGGACACCCCCATGCCAGAGCACAGCACTATGTGACGTGCGCTGATCTGTCTCCTCAGTCTGATGCTCCCGTCTCTGCTCCAGCCAGCCAGGATTTGGCCACAGGTGCCTAGTGCTGAGAGGTCTGGACAGTGGCTGGCTGCGCCACTAAACTCCTGCCGCCATCCACAGGCATGTGCATGCCTCCACGAGCAGCAAGAAGCAGTACACTCAATAATTATGTCCCTTTGATTCAGAAGCATGAATCAACCAGCTGCAAGGCTGTGCTCTGCCTTGCCATGGAGCAGCGATTCTCAGCCTGTCTAGACTCAAGACACCTTTCCGTAGACTCGGGGCAGCCCTGCTTAAGACCCTGTGGCAACCTGGTCAAGAATCACTGTCACAGAGCGTAGCAGGATGTGGCATTACAGCTCCCGGAGACAGAGAGCTCTCCGTCCCGGAGCCTGGCAGAGGCAGCGATTCACTGGCACAGGGAAATGTCCAACCTCTGACCACAGTCCATTTTGGGGAGTAATTAGAGTGAGATTAGCATAATCCCCCCTGCTTTTGAAGGCAAGGGTGGGTAGATGGGGCATGAGAACAGGAGAGCTGCATGCAGAGGGACGGGCAGGAGAGAAGGCAACGCAGCAGTGCCTGCAGCGAAGAGAAAGTCAGGTGCCAGAGTACACTGTGGGGTCAGCAGAAGCCCCCCAGGCCATCGAGCCTGGTCCTTTGCCTTTGCATGCCCTAATTTGCCACGTCAAGTCCTCGTTTGCAGCTACAAGCTACAAAGCCAGGGACACAAGAACACCCTGTAGACACCACAGGTAAAAGTAGCCAGGAAGGCCCCGTTCACGCAGGACACGGAGGATAAAAAGGAGTAACAGGAGCAACCACACGCAAGGCACTGACAGCGATAGCAGGAAACGCTGCCATGCCATTTGGGGCTGCAGTGCATGGAGACAGCAATGCAAGCACAGGCCCGAGTAACCCTTGGCGGGAGGCCTAAAGACCAAAATGCTGCAGAGGTGGCACTGGGTTAATGGTCAGCAGACAGCTGGAACCGAAACAGGATGCTCCAGGGCTAGAAGCACAAGTGTCTGGAGCTGGAGCCAATGAGCCAGGGTTGCAGGGGCCAGAACAGACTCACATCCGCTGGGGTCAGGCACAGGAGGATGGAGACATGTAGCGCGGCGCTGAGAGACGGTAAGGGTGGGAAGGGGACCAGGAGGTCACAACCAGTCCACCCCCCTGCTCCAAGTAGGACCAGGCCCAACTCCATCGTCCCAGGCAAGACCCCACTGGGTGTGAGGAACCACTCAACCTGCCATCAGTTGGTCGAGGGCTAATGTAAATGGTAAATTTATGGCTAGGGAAGGAAGCAGGGAGAAATCCAGGACAGCAGCATGGAGCCCCTCATGCCAATGGATCGGGGAGTCTCTGTGAGCCTCTGGCTGTCTCAGCCACTCTTCAAGCAGCCCTACAAGTGTGAAGACAAGCTATCATCAGTGAGCTGGCTTTTCCGGTGGGTCCGGGCTAGCTTACACCCACTGAGCCTCTGGCCCGTGCTATTGTTTGAAAAACATTCAGGTTTTCACTGCATTTGGCCAGCTCTAGTAGCTTTCTGCTGGTCCAAGCTCCCTGGGCAAGGGTCTGTGGGCTGCTGTCTGTCTTGCCTACCATAGCACAGAGAACCCGGCAGCTCCCCTATGCAGTGTTTAAGGCCTCTGGTGTTCCTCCCCAGAAGTGGCCGCACTGCAGGATGAAGGGATTTCTGAAATGTTGATGTTAAAACAAACAAAAATGAGCCAAACAGGACTTTGCCATGGGCTTGATTAAGTTTCACAGGCTGCTTGCAGGGGGGCAAAGGAGAGACTTTTCCAAGTTCAACTACCAAAGCCGGCAGTAGCTGTCTTTGCATTTGAGCATGGCCACAGCTGTTCTCGGCCTGAAGAAGATTAACTGTTAGGTTCCTCGAAGCAGGCGACTGGATGCATCTGCCTCTTTCTACACAGTCCTGCTGCACAGGTCCACGACGCTGCATGCTTAATTGCACCTGACTGACAGCGATTAGCGCTCTACGTTGGCAGGGGAGGAACCATATCTCCGTGAACTGGAAACCACCAGTCCATGAACATGCCCTGGCCCTAACACCGTCTGCCGGCCCTCCCGAGGCACTGCACAGGAGCCAAAACATGGTGTCGGGCACACCTGAGTCATATTGTAATGCAACGTAAACCTTCTTGGGAGGTTTTAATAAAGCTGTTTCTGGCAGAGCTGCCTTCAGAAGGCTCCTAAACGCGTGGCTAATAGTGGCTAGGCTAAAGCGGATCGCATAAGCTGGCAGACTTTGGACAGCGGGCCCGTGTCCAGTTACGGACACTGCTGGGAATATGTCCCCCCTGGGCCTACAAGCGCTTGGCCAAGCACTACTCTTCTAAGCAGCCAGTAGCTTTTCGCTGGGTCCCCAGGGCATCATCCTTGTAGAGACGAGTGGCTCTGGGTCTTCCAAGGACTTGAAAAGGTTCTCATTGCTCAAAAGTCACAGGCTACCTCCGTGAGCGAGAGGCAGGCCCCTTGGAGGCTGCTCAGCAGCACGTCATGCCAGCTGGATGGAGACAAATGTCTTCTCCCAACAGCCTGGGACTTTAGCTTGGCAGGTGCTGCTGCTCGAGTTGGGAAATGGGGTGCTTTGTCCCTCTGTGCCTCAGTTTACCACCTGGGGGACTGGTGCTGCCTGGCGAAGTGCTCAGATACGGCAGCGATGGGGCATATGAACACCTTGGGTGGGCAGGACGAGCTCCGTGACCCCTGTGAGGAGGATCAGGGGCTGACCTGCTGCATGGCAGGCCCTGGCTTCTACTGCGGTCCATTCAGAGCTGTCTTTGAGCTTGCTCTGCTAGCCCCAAAACCACTCACACATCTCCTGGTGTGTGCTTGGGTGCTCCACCAGCTCTCCCTCACAGCTTTAATAGTGGAGCTTGGCTTAGACCTGCACTGGCTTGTCTGTTCTTTACTGGAAGAAACAGTGGGGCACGGGATGAGACGCTGGGCAGAGAGCTGCTCAACTCCGTCTAGACCAGCCTTGAGGACCCAGAGCAGGTCCGAGCTTGCTGGGTCCTCCAGACATTGCACTCGCCCCCTCTACTGAGATAAGGTAGAGCCCTGCCTTGCCTTCTGCCTCCCTTATTGAAATAAAGGGACCAGGGATGTCAGACTGGACCAGTGAGAAGGCAACACTCATGCAAGATGCTGTCTGGTGGGACAGGACAAGCTAAGAGGGACCTTGAGAGAGTCATGCAGGGCTGGTCTGCCCCTGGAGTTACAGCCGAATGGATGTGGCACTTCAGACACACGCCCTCTTGGTCCAAACCAATTTGCAAGTGTAGAGAAACCCCTGGGCCTCTTGGAGAGGAGCTCTAGGACGTTCAGGGGCAGAGGGGCTGCAACTCCCTCCTTAAAGCTCCCCTTTGCCAGCAGCAACCTTTGCAACAGCAGTCCCAGCATACTGACAACCTACTGTATGGACCGGCGATGCCTTCTTATTTCCCCAGACTGCCCCACGGATCCACATCTATCCATTGCCTTTAATTGGTAAGACTATAACCTCCCTGGGATACCACTGTGTGTCCAGACAGTGCTTTGCACAGTGCTGCAACAGGGCTCCTATGGGCTCTGGTAATACAAATGAACAAAAAATGCTGTTTTCATCGGGTTTTCTTTTTCCCTCCAGGCCACAAGGCCCGATATAACATGACACGGCCACCTGCATCACACAGGCAGTAAAATCCCACCTAGCGATTCCTGCTACAAGCCCAGTCATTTGTGGCTGAACTAGAACATCTCTTTTATAACAGCTGGGCTCAAAGGCACCAAGTGGCAGAGAATTAACCACATCCCTTGGCAGGCCGTCCCAATCATCCTCGCTGCAGAGGAGAAAAAAATCCGTGCTGGCTTCAGCTGCTAGCCACTGGGTCTTGTTTGTCTAGCAGATTAGAGGGCTCGGCAGTATCAAGTGTCTTCCTCCTGCTTATGTAACTCCAGACAGTGGTCAAACAGGATGAGACAAGGTTTACCTCCCAGGCTAATCCACACTTGGCCTGTGGTCAAGTTGAAATTCAGGGCTGGTGGGATAGCTCTCGAGGGCGCACACCCAAAATACACCCTTGGTGTTTCTGCTGCCGGCCAAGGGCCGCTGTGCTCCTCGCAGCGTGTTGGCTGGGGTGCCCAAGGTGCACGTCACCCCTAGGAGCTGTGAGTGGTGACGAAAGGAGCAATGGGGGGGAGGGACTGCCGGGGAACCCAGCGGTGTTACAGCAGGGGTAGTCGGCCTGCAAAGGGTGTTGCTTTGAGGCCGCTGTATCCAAGGCTATGGAGCAACAAGAACCAGAGCTCTGCGCTAATGGGGACAGGCGAGAGGCATCGGCTTGGTCAAGAGAGCTCATGAGACTGTCTGTCAGGAAACCTGGAAAGCCCAGGTGGCTTGTCGGAAGCAGTCCTAGCTCAGTCTGCAGCTGCTGCTCAAGTTCAGGGATACTCGCACGTGTCCAGCCTTGTGAGAGGGGAGACTGACCCTGCGCCCATACCAGAGGCCACCGAGACCTGAAGGGACTTCCACCAGGTCTAGCACCCAGGCCACGCGCACGCGCAGGCCTGAAGAAGGGTGTTTGTGCCCAAAAGCTTGCAAAGAACAACTTTTCCAACTATTTAGTGGGTCTAATAAAAGAGATCACATCGACCCAAAGAACCTTGTCCACCAAAGAAGCACATTTACGACCTGTCACTCGAGCCAAAGCACCCCACCTGCTTTGGGGGTGGAAGCTGCCTTTAGGGGCACGGGCCTCACTCGCCTCCCCCAGCTCAAAGTGCAGAGGGGGACTGACAGCAGCCGGCCCACCCTGACCGCAGGCAGCACTGGAGCGGGGCAGCTCCTTCCTGCCTACCAGGGCCCCATCCTCCACCTTCCCAGCGTGGTGGCAGGGAAATCATACAAGGCGACCCCGCTGCAAGTCATGTCCCCCTTTGCCTCTGGCTGGCAGCTGCATCACGTGCAAAGGAGAAGGTGTTGCGGGCGCGAGCACCTACCTGGATCCCATTAGGGTAAACTTCTCCCTCCCCGATGGAGTCCACCAGGTCTTCCTCGTCCAGCGTCGCCCGCTTGTAGGTCGACATCTGAAATGTCAAATGGAGAACAGATTCCCTTAGCACCTCCATCGTCCGGGGCACCGACAGGCGCCTGCCCCCCCAGCCAGGCACTGCTCTGCGAGCCGGAAAGCTGGCGCATCAGCTCAGGGCCTCCTGGCTGGAGCCCCATCGTGCGGGACCTCTGCTCATGATACCGAGCCGGTGGCCCCAGAGCCGGCAGTCCCAACTGCTACCAACGGAGCGGCTGAGCAAAGGTAACTGGGGGCCACTTCTCCTGCTCGGACTCGCAGCGCCTTCCCGGAGAGTCCAAGTGAACCAACGCCCGGGAGCGTGAGATGGGCTGGCACGGGGACATCCGCCCAGCCACGTTAGAGATCCTCCACGAGACTTCGCGCTAATGCTACCCAACACGTCTGAGCTGGAGGAACTCGGAGAGGCACAGGAGCAGTCAGCCCAGCCTCTGCCAAGAAAACCTTCCCCGTCTCCGCATCTCTCATGCAACCCTCCTGTTAGCCTGAAGGAAACTTTCCCTTTCAGCGGGGAGGTGTCCTGCGCAGCGAGGGGCCGCGGCAGCCCGGCCCGAGAACATCAGACGGTCACGTTTCAAAACACAGGATCGGGGACGGAGCCAGGGAACAGGAAGTAAAATAAAGGCTGCCTGCGTTTGTAAAGCTACATTCCACAGCAGGAGCCAGAGGATCGTTGCACAGCTTCAGACGCCACCCCTCTTCCCTCGGGCTGGCTCCACCCCTGCTCCAACCCCATCTCCCACTTATCGCCCAGGAAGGATGGCGAGGAAGCGGGGACCAGCAGGCAGGGAGGTAGCGAGGGACATGCTTGAGGAGCCGTCATGGCCCAAGTGCCAACGTCATCCTCGCGGGACCTTTCCCCCTGCGCGCCAAGCGTGCCGGGGTCTGCGCGTGGGGCGGCTGGGCTCTCCCACCCAGTGGGTCCAACATCTGGGGAGCGTCTGGTTTCTGTGACATGCCCTACCCCTCTGCCCATCGCGACTACCACCGCCTACCTCACTGCCGCTAACAAATACCAAATCCGGGGGCTGCTCCGGCATCCTGGCCCCTCTTGCCCCGCTGCCTGCCTTGGCCCCGAGCAGAAGCTCGGCGTGAGGCCTCTGGGACTTGCTCCTGCTCCTGATAAGAGGGTCTCCCTCTGCCCACCCCACTCACCCCCGAGCCCTGGACTAGGGACGGGGCTGGGAGAGAGCAGTTTGCCCAGGACACAACAGACCTGGACTCTCTGCTGCCTCCCCTCCCACCCAGGCATCGCTTCCACCTGGGCCAGGCAGTGCAAGGCACTCCTGCTGCAGTAAGCCAGGGCCAGACTCCCAAGCCAGCCCGCTGCTTGTAGCCGTGTCAAGCCCAGCCCCAGGCCCTTCCCAGTCTGTACAAGCTTGACCGCCCAGCCCTCAGGAGACGCGACAGCAGCACAAGGACTGGCTGGTGCAGGTCCCCGTGGCAGCACCGCAGCTGTACCGAGGGCCCGCTCAGACCCAGGACGCTCACTCACATCCCCAGCATGATAAAGATCCTGCCATTGGTTTGAGAGCTAGCTCATTTAAAGCTGGTGTGGCTGTATCTACCCCTGCTGCAGTCGCACCTCTGTCTGCAATGTGGACATAGCCTGGAGCAACGTTAACTCCCAGCTGTGGGCTCGAAACGCGCTTCCCAGCACGCAGGGATTTGAACAGGCCGACTGCCAGGATGCGCCCATTCCAGCCCTGCTAATAAAGCGTTAACCTGGATCTCTGGCTTTAGTAGGCTGTAGTTATTGGGGGTTTAGGGCACTTCGTCCCCCCCACCCCACATGCCCCATAAACACTCCCTTGCCAGCTTAAACGGAGCGGAGAGATGCAGAGACACGCGTTTGGTATTGCACAACACTTGCCTCCGCTCTAACAAGCCTTTGCTCAGCCTCTTTAAATGTCCTGCAGGATGTTGCACCTGGAGTTAATTCCTCACTCAGTGACTTGGGCTATTACTTGTCCAATTCCCCCCCAGCAACAGCACCGATCATTCCCCTTTTACAAGACTAATAACCAGGCACCCCACCAAGGTCTGTTCCCTCCTGGCTCTCGCACTTCTGGAGCATGTTATTAATATGCTGCTACTTTTAATCAGAGGGTTGTCTACATCCATGCAGTTCACTTAATCCACCTCTTTAAAAGCTGATAAATATTAAGACCAGGGTGTAAATAGGAAATAGTTGGAGATCAAAGGAAAAGCTCTGCTGGAAATAAGCGGTAGATTGTCCAGGTCTTTGATTTATGATACAGGAACAGGCATGCCGCCCAAAACCAGCCACTCGTGGAGGCAGAATCATCCGATCTGCGAATGCTTGCTGCTGCCATAAATCCCACAAGCTGGTCCACGCAGGTGGGGCTAGTCAAACTGTCTGCCGAGGCACGGGATGCCCTGCAGCAGCGCGCAGGATTGGGGCTACAGAGGGAAATCCTGAGCACAATCCGCCGGATGGAGCGAATGGCAAGATTCAATCCGAAAGCATAAGTCAGGGACTCCACACGCTGTAACCTGTTTTCACCCCCCGTCTTGCCATTCAAACGCTGCACCAAAACTGTAAGATGCTTATACTTCAACAAACAGGACTTCTCTTCTAGATCCCCGGTCCTCCAAGAAGCTCACTGCATTTCCCAGCTCCATGCACAAATCCCCAGCCTGGAGTTGTACCCCCTGGGGAAACGTCGGCACGAAAGCCTAAGTGATGCTCCCAGGGTGAGAGACTGAGGATTACAGTCAATGACAAAAGCCAGTTGGTTTTTAATAGCAACAATTTTGAGCCTGGATCTGTGTGAGAGGCAGGTGCAGGATGTGGGTGTTCCCTACCCAATGTGCTAAAAGCCACAGAAAACTGCCTCCGCTTTATGTTTTTCAGTATTTAAAGCTCCATTTGGATGTTGTCTCTGCCCAAGTTATGGCATCGCTTTGAATTCAGGGAGGAGCAGGAGGGTCAGCTCTGTGCGACCCGGGGGCAGGCAGGGATGGTCTCAGCACTGATCCAGGTGCCCAGGACCCCCAGTCCTGTGCCTACAGCCCCTGGCCACTGCTGCAATGGAAATCACACTTCCGCGCATGCACGGTCTCAGCTGGTGCCTCTTCAGGGCTGCCACTAAATAACCATCTAACGAGTAGCTAATGCTATTAGGATTTAGTTCCCAGCAACATTTCCGGCCTGCCGCAGAGCGAGTGCCGACGTGGAGAAGGCCTGGGCCTGGTAGCACACAGACGTGCCAGATGCCGGCTGAGCAGCCAGCACCCAGGTGCAGCAGATGCCTGCTGCCTGCAGCCATTAACCAAGCTCGAGTGGAGCCAGCTGCAAGGAGAGAGGTCAGAGGCGTGTGCAGAATGACTCAGGGTTGGGGAGGCTGCCGGGGTGTATTTATAGCCCCGCAGCTCTGCCAGTCAAATGCCTGGTGCAGACACCCTAGTCTGAAATACAAGCGAGAGGAGCAGGGCCATTTTGTCAGAAGAAAGTCTCTTTTCTTGGAGATGATGGGATCCAGGCAGGCAGCTCTGCTGGCCCAGCTACAGAGAGTTAAT